TGGGGGGGCGCCGGCCAGGCCGTTCCCGGCGCCATTCACTTCTTTTTGAGAAAGAAGTATTTATTTAATTTGTTTTTATTCTTTTTTTATCCTTTTTTTTTAAAAAAATATCTGTTTAATTTATTATTCTTCAATTTGACCAGAGGGAGGTAGAGAGAGGGAGAGTGAGAAAGCAAGCCACCAGATCCGGGACTTGAGCCATGTTTGGCCATTTGGGAGTCCAACACCTTAATCACCATGCCATCTCTTGGCCCTTATTATTATTATTATTTCTTGATTTGACTAGAGAGAGAGAGAAGCAAAGTGAAGAAGGAAGCTGCCAGGTCCTGGACTCAAACCACTGTTGGCTATGTAAGAGTTCAGCACCTTAACCACCATGTCACCTGTTAGCCCCTTCATTGACTCTTCTTTTGGACCTGGAGACAAACAGTATGGGTTCTGGTCTTAGGTCACTGAGAAACTATATTGTGGTATCTAAATCTTCGTGTCTAGCAATATATATAGCCTCTGAAGAAATTCACAGAACATATTATGACAGTTGTATTTTAGAGGTATGCATTTTTTGTCTGTATAGCTGTGTGTGAAATTTAGTTGTTTTTGCCATACCCTCCCCCCCTCTTTTTTTTTTTTGAGAGATTTTTGCTATAGGGTGCATGTACTCACCAGAAAGACAGAGTGAAACAGAGAGACAGAAAGTGAGAAATTACCCCCCAGAGGGGATGGCCACGCCACAATCCCTTCTCTTTCATTCTCCTCATGGGATCTTGGGCATATGTGCACATGTGGCAGGTATAAGTTTAAGCCACTGGGTCCAGGATTGGAAATGCGATCAGCTACATGGGAGTCCAGCGACAGCCATTATGCCAACTGCTGGTCCCGCCATTTCCCCTTTTATAACACTGGAATCTAACCATATGTCCACCAGGCTTCTGTAGGCAAATCTGACAAGAAGTATGGTATAAAAGCAACCAAAAAGAGAGAAAAACGATTTAAAAAGTGTGTATTTTCTCACTTGACATTCTTTCTGGAGAGAAGGTACTACAGAATGAGGTGAAAGATGTGTGTTAACTGTTATTTGGGTGCAGTTCAAGTGGGCTTTTCTTAGGGACATTATCTTGCCAAATAGTTTATCTCGCTGAATCTCTCTCTCTCTCTTTGCCTCACTAATAGAAGAGAGAAAGAAATGAAGGGAAACTCTTAACATAAAGATGGTAGTATAAGACAACAGTTTCTCTCTTTCTGGTTCTAACTTTAGAATTCATTGTATTTTCAGAAAATACAAGGGTTATTAATAAAAGAGCAGGATATGTATATATGATGTGTGTGTGTGTGTGTGTGTGTGTGTGTGTGTGTGCATGTATATGTAAATGGTTTGATTGATGGTGGTTGCTTGGAATGCTGGGGTGATCTGTGCCTAGAGCTTGAATTGCAGTGCACAATGGAGAAATGCTCTTTTTGTGTAGACTCTTGTCTAGTAAATCACAGTCATGGAGGAAGACACATAAAAATACAGCAGGGTTTTCTTTTCGGGGTAGACTTTGTGATGTTGGGAATAGAGTCTGTTTTGCCTTTGTTCCTGTTTCTTCCTTAGTTTGGGGATTAATTTATTCCGTTGAGTGCTTGCTAAATTCTAGTGCCTTGAGCTAAGACTTTGGTAAGTGGTCATTTTATTGTCAGGTGTTCAGTGGCTCATTGAACATAAAATCTCCTGTAGTATAGATGATAAACTATAGTACTGCCATTTAGTCAATGTATTTTAAAATTCAGTTACTGATAAATATGCTCTTCTTTTTTTTTTCTTTTAAGGTTAAAATGGGCTTGTTGGTGGACCTGACAAATACTTCTAGGTTCTATGACAGAAATGACATAGAAAAAGAAGGAATCAAATATATAAAACTTCAGTGTAAAGGGTAGGTTGTGTATTAAGACTCTTCAATATTGAATTCTTTGAATCTTGAAATTTGTAGTCTCTTCTTTTTTCAAACAATTTTTTCTGTATTACCAGACATGGTGAATGCCCTACAACTGAGAATACTGAAACGTTCATTCGTTTGTGTGAGCGATTTAATGAAAGAAGTCCACCTGAGCTTATCGGTATGTTTGGGTTTACTTTACCACTGGGGAATATCTTATCTTGCAGTTAAATTTCTGTTCTCTTTTTGGCAAGTGAGTAGATACGGGAATTTTTTTCTTTTTTCACTTTTAACTAATCACTAAATAGTGTGATACGAATTTCTTTCTTTTCTAAAAAATGCCAAGAGGTATATGTGGTCACCAGAGACAGAGAGAGAGGGGGAGAAAAGGAGAGAGAAAGCGTACCTTCAGTGGGGTGTGGTCTTATTGCAGTCCATTCTACGTTTCTCCAACCACTCAGCTATGAGGCTGGCCCACTAAGTAGTATTTATTATATTGTAAGAGACGTTTTTGTGAGTTATACAAAAGTGTGTTTTCATAATTGTTGTTTTTCAAGGTAAATCTGTACTTGGTCCTCTTCAGATATACTGCTGGGAAAGTGTACATTAAACACTAGCTATTTATTTTTAATAATTTTACACTGTATGCCATGTGTGTTCTTCTGAAACTTTCTTTTTTCATTCTTATATTTCTGAGTGACTCATGATGCATGTAATTGTAGTTCATTTTTGCTGTTGTATAGTTGTATTAGTTTACTCTATTGCTAATGGCTGAAATACCTGCAACTAGGTGATTTTATAAGAGTAGAAATTTGACGCCAGCAGGTGGCGCTGAGGTTAAGGCAGCTGGATCCCACCTGGCTGGCTGTGCGATTTGAGCCCTGGACTTGGTAGCTTGAAAATCATGCAGGGTGTCTGTGCGTGAGTATCCAAAATCCCGAGAAGAGAATGGAAGAGGGGGTTGTGGTGTGGCCATCCTTCTGGGAGGTAATTTCTCACGTTGCCTCTCTGTCTCCCTCTGGCAAGTGTATATACTCTATAGCAAAACCGAATAGAAATTTGTTTAGTGCACAGTTGTGAAGATCAGTGGTCTAGGGGCCACATCGGGGAGGGTCTTTTTGTTGGTGGATAGCATGGCAGAGGGCATCACATGGTGAGAGAGTAGGGGTTAAATGGGCCAGATCCCATGCGACTGACTGTGCAGTTTGAACCCCTCTGCAATGGCTTGAAAAACATGCTGGGCATATAGATATGCATGCCCACAACACTGACAGGGTAGAAAAATGGAACAGATGGGATTATAGTATGTTCATACCCTTTGGAGGGTGCTTTCTCTTTCTCCCCTCTCTTTCTCTCTCTTTATTGCACACCCATGACCCTCTAAATTAAGAAAAAACTTTTTATTGCTCAAAATCTTGTCTGTTTAAATTGCTGAAAGGTTTTTTTCTTTGTTTAATAAATATTTATTGATGTGGGGCCAGCAAGTGACCTGGTGGTTAAAAGTGCTGGACTCCCAGACGGCTGACTGCTGTTTGAGTCCTAGACTGGCAGCTTGCTTTCTCACTTTCTGTCTCTGGTAAGTGCATGTGCCCTATAGCAAAACATAATACAAATAAATAAAATTAATATAAATACATAAAATTAAATACATAATTCTTTAAAAAATATTTATCGACTTAATGGAGACAGTGGATTTTAAAAACACAAATTAACTTCAGTTCTGCTGAAGTTTCATCAAGATTTTACTTGCATTTGTATGGTAAATTTAAAACTTTTTTTTGAAACAAATAATGTCTTCAAGTGTTTATTTTAGTATTTAAGTATTTTTTTTTTTTCAAAAAGACTGCCTATTGTGTCTCAATAACTTTATTACTTGTTGTTTTGCCCTTTTGTTAAAGGAGTGAGAGAGGAAATTTAGGATAGGAACTTTCAACTCAGATTACTTAAAATATAATCCAAACTCTGGGACTAGCAGATGGTGTTAAGGTTATGTTGCTGGACTCTCATGTAGTTGATGGTGATTTGAGTCCCGGACCTGGTGGTGTGCCCAAAATCCCAAGAGGAGAAGGGATTGTGGTGTTGCCATCCGCCCTGGGGGCTGATTTCTCACTTTTTGTCTCTCTCTGTCTCCCTGGCGATTGCATGAGCCCTATAGCAAAAATCTCTTTAAAAAAATATATATATGTAATCCATGTTCTACTCCTTACTAGCTATGTAAATGACACTGGACAAGTTTTTTAACCTTTCTTTTTTTTTTTATAATTATTATTATTTTTAACTTTATTTATTTGCTTATTTAGAGTGACAGAGTGAGGGGGGAGAGAGTGAGAAAGCAGGCCGCCAGGTCCCAGACTTGAACCGCAACCAGCCATGTGGGAGTCCAGTGTCCTTAACCACCATGCCACCTGCTGGTCCCAAGTTTTTTAGCCTTTCTAAACCTCTATTTCTTATCACAAAATGGGGTGGTATTATCTACCTAAAAGGTTTATTATGAGAAGAAAATAAGATCATGTATGTGAAACAGTTTATGCAGAAACTAGTAGAGAGGAAATGCTCAATAAATATTAGTATTATTAATATTATGATTAATGAGATGATTCTCTATATTTTCTAACTAGTTATAGTTTATTTGCAAGAAAATTACTTGTGTTTTTTTCATTTATCTTGTGTCTGAATATATCCCTTGGACTTTTTTTTATTATTGTTAATAGTTTTAAAGTTTCTCTGAATGGCGGGACCAACAGTTGGTGTAATGGCTATGTTGCTGGGCTCCCATGTAGTTGGCCGTGGTTTGAGTCCTGGATCTGGTGGCTTAAAGTCACATCGGGTGTGTGTGAGTTTGTGTTTTCACTTGGCTGAACTTGATTGGAACCCTAGTTACGGGGGCTTGAAAAACTCTAGACTCGTGTACATTGTATTTCCAAAATCCTGATGGGATGGAGAAATGAAAGAAAAAAGAGTGTAGCATGATCTACTGGGGGGTGTTTTCTCCTGTTTCCACCCACCTTACCTCTCTCTCTCGCTTTCTCTCTGGCAAATGCACAAACCATCTGTCTATGAAAAAAACCCAAAAGGCAAAAAACAAGAAAATACATTTAACAACATTTAAAAAATTACTAAAAATCTGGGACCAGCAAGCAGTGTAGTGGGTAAGTTGCTGGACTTCCACATGGTGGAACATGGTTCAAGTCCCAGATTCAGCAACTTGAAACTCATGCCAGGTGTGTGTGCATGCGTGCCCAAAGTCCGAGAGGAGACTGAAGGAGAAAGGATTGTGTGTGGCCATCCCCCTGGGGCTGATTTCTTGTTTTCTGTCTCTCTCTGTCAGGCACATGTGCCCTATAACAAAAATCTCTTTTAAAAAATTTCCAAAAAACTGAAAGGCCAATGAATTGGAAAAAATTTCAAACAACTCATATAAAAAGTTTATTTATGTCATCTAGCCATCAGGAGAGAAAGAATGATTTAATAAACTATGAGAAACAAATGATTAGTTATGTGGAAAATCTATCAACTATATCCTCAGTTTAAGCCAGCTGCCAACATAAATACCACAAAGAATAAAGAATGTTAAAACCAAATCTCAAATATTCTAGAAAGTCCTAGCACCATTTTTTACAATGACCAAAAAAAAAAAAAAAAAAAGGAAAAAAGAAAAATCAAAACATGGAAACTAATGCAAATATCCTTCCAAATACTGTCATTTTAGAATTATTTATTTATTTATTGTTTATTGTCTGGTTCTTTTTTGTCATCCTGTTGGGATTTTGGGCATACATGCACCTGTGCCTAGCGTGTTTTTCAAGTTGTTGGGCTCAGGATATGAACAGTGGTTAGCTGTGTGGGATCTAGCTCCCTTAACTGTGAGGCCATGGGGCCAGCGCAGTTGATATTCTCATCTACAAAGATATTTTATAAACAGGCAGAAAGGGCATTTCTTAATAGAAGCATATGAAAAAAAGTTTATAAAGATAAAATACAAATAGCCAAGAACACATGAAAAATTTTTCATTCTCACTTCTTAATGAGAGATGCATTTAAGATATATGTTGTTACTTAACCCTCCCCATCAAATTGGCAAAGATTTAAAAATTTATAATGTCCACTAGCATCAAGGATTAGATAAACTGGGTGCACTCATGAGACATTCTTAAATTAGAGTGTTAATTGGTATATAGCCTCTCTGGAGGAACAATTTAGTGGTTTATTTTTAAGGTTTATTTATCTCTTCCATGAGAGAAAAAGATAGAGAGAGGTGAGGAGAGGACACTCCCAACGGGATCTTTGTGCTCACAACTAACTCCCAACCTCAGTCACACAGGATTATAGGCTTGTGCGAGTGTACTTGGTGTGCATTGAAAGACTCAGGAGGTGAACTAGGACCGTCCCGTGTGGCAGTAACAACACTGTGTTACTGCCGTGCCACTATGCACGGTGAGCCCATCCATTGTGTACAGGGAGACATCGGAACGCTCACTCTGGGACTTCGTATCAAGCTTTAGCTTTGCTGAGAGTTTTGTTACCGTGGAAGCATACTGTGACCAATAGTAAACATTTGTGATGTGGAAGAAGTTAGACTCAGGTTTTCTTCCTTTTTTTCCTTTGTGCTAGAGGATTCATACACTCACCAGAGACAGTGAGACAGAAAGTGGGGGGAAGGAAAAAGCACCCCTCCGTGGGGAATGGTCATGTGCAAACCATTCTTTCTCATCTCTCTCTCATTTTGGGACTTTGGGCATGCGCACACACACACCTGGTGTGTTCCTTAAGCTGTGAGATCTTAAACCATGTGGTTGACTGTGTGGGATCTGGCTGTATTAACTATCAAAGCTGACCTAAATCAGGCTTTATTTTCAAAGCTATGCTTGTGTTTTAAGAAATCATCTTTAGGGGCCAGGAGGTAGTATAGTTATTAGTTCCTAGACTCCCATAAGGCTGACCACAGTTCGAGTCCTGAATCTGGTGGTTTGAAAATCACTCAGTGTGTGTGTGCATTTGTGCCCAAAATATCATGAGAATAGAGGAGAAGGGACTGCAGCATGGCCATTTCCCCTGGGAGATAATTTCTCGCCTTTTCTCTGTCTCTCTTTGGTGAGAGCACGTGCCCTATGGCCAAAATAAAAGAAAAAGTTTAAATTAGTCATGTATTGTTAGCTCATCAATTACAATTGATAATAGATT